GACAGACAGGAAGGAGAGAAGAGGACGGAGGGTCTGGAGGAAGAGGAGGAGGAGGAGTGATTGCCTGTCTGTGCTGTGCGGAAAGTAATCTCAGAGCAATCAAGAGGCGGGGGCGGCCGGCAGCTCTGAGCTTCTGAAAAACCAACGGGCAGGTAGAGAAAAATCATTAGGCGCCACTCCTGACCCCACAGGTCACTTTTATTGGACAACCACTGGGTTTCATATTAGACCCCTGCTGGCAGAGGCAGACAGACAGGCATGAAACTAATAAACTAACATGATGAGCATGTAGATTTGAAAAAAAAATTTTTTTCATACATTTTGGATGCAATTTTAAAAAGCTCTCTTAAAGACTCTGAGATCAGAGCTCTGTGAACACTGTCACGAGAAGCCCCTCTAATTTTTTCATTGTAAACCCACCTTCACCACTCTCAATCGAAAACTTTTGCACACACATTAGTCGTCGCTAAGAAAAAGAGCTGGACTAAAGGTCGCTTTGAGGTGGCAGGAGGGGGGGTTGGGTATCATGCAGCGCCTCTTTAGTGCTGCCGTTTCTGATCGACAGCGAAGCTTTTATCTCTCCCCAAGAGTGACTCTGAATTAAAGCAGCTTTCACTCACCTTTAGGTTTTTGTGCTCGTGAGTGTGTGTGTGTGTGTGTGTGTTTTTGTGTGTGCATTTGTGTATGTGTTGGGAGCAGGGTAAGAGTGCAGACAGCACTGCGGGAGGAGAAGTGGTGGGATTCAATGGTGGATCTTTAAGGTGGTCTTGGGGGGTGCAAAGGTTGCTACAGAAATGGAAAAATAACCACTCAACAATCTGGGCACTGATAGATGTCGAAGTCTACTGGGGGAGGTTGAAAACTGATCTCATGATGTTTAACGGTAATGGGCTTGATGAAGCACGTGTTAAAAGCTTAAAGAAATGAAGATCTTTCAAACAAGGATTATAAACATTATCTTACCTGTTGTAGACAGCTCTTTGAATTACCTAATGAATGATTATCACCCGACTTGGTTTGTTGTATGGCAAGCCATTTCACTATATAGTCATATCACACTTTTTTAATCTGATTACAACTTTCAAAATTATTAATAGTCTCTCTTCTAGTCACAATATGATGTTTGCAATGACATTATGACTAGTTATTGTACACACAAAAGCTTTGAAAAGCCTCAAGAAGAAGTGGAACAGGTGGAAGAACCGAGCCTGACCAGACTGTCCTCTGCAGTCGAGCCTACCTGAATCTGAATCTCTGTTTGCGAAGCCATATGTTAAAAAATAATACATCAGTTTAAATACTATACAGCCAGACTGGATATTAGAGTTGGATTCTGATGATCAGTTTGTTTCAAAGAACCATTTTGAATGTATGCAAAAAGCGACGTACAATATATCCTCCGACTTGTCAAGCGTGCATCCTCACCTCTGTCCTGAGTGCATGTTCACCACATACAACAAGTGCTGAACCCCTCCCCTTATCCTGTTCTTCTTTGTTTTATAGGAAATGTAAAGTCTGTTTCTATATCTGAGGAACAAATAATCMGGAGTTAAAATAGCTCCAGCTGTTTGTTTTTAAGATTCGTTCAAATTATTCGTGAACATTTGTCTTCCAAGTATTCATAATGTAGAGCTTTTGAGAAACTTGTGTAGGGGTCACCTCGAGTGAAGAAACAAGATTTACTGCCTCGAAGCAGGCCTCGGACAGGCCTGACGAGAGGACAGGAACTCTGTCACAAACTGAACTCTATTTTAGGCTATGACAGGTCATTTTAACCTAGAAGAGAATTCCTCAGTTCTCTTAATCAGTTAATGGACAGAACAATCTCTTCTGTTCGTGATTCATTTGTGTTTAACTAAGAATGTTTATGCATTTGTTAAATCATGATAATGACTGTCACAAGAAAAGTGGAACCACTTCTACTCTTTTATCGTGCCTAAAAGATTAATAATGGTATAAAAAATCAGAATCTCATTACAATGTTTTCATTGTGTTTTTATATAAATCACTGTTTTTATTTACTGTGAACACAGTAATATAATTGTGGATTTTTCCTGAGAAAATCTTTCATTTATCTGGACTAACAGAACGGTTCAGAACTGATTATAAGACAGAAATGTTAATTAATCATCATAAATGTTTTGCAGTGATTTCTCTTAGAGTCTATTAGAAGAAAGCTAAAGAAGTTATCATGATGTTGTTGAACAACCACAGAATTTAACCTTGACTGGTGCCTGGCTGGCAAGTCTTCATCTTTCTTTCTTTCTCTGACTCATCTCTACGCCTGAGGGCGGAACCAAAGATCGTCCATTTCTATTACTAACACGGACGTCTTTGAGACACACTCTTCTTCCTGATTTCCAACCTGGGAAGACAGCTGAGTTTCTCTCCGGAGAAGCCAGTTTGGCTTTTAGGTCTTAGCCCATGAGCTAACTAAGGGGGACCTAACAGCTGGGACTCAGCACGCCAGCCAGTCCCACCCCGAGGCTTCAAGTCTCTAAGTGTGTTTTAACTCCCGAGGGGAGATTTTATTTTGAAAGAAGGAACCGGATGTACAGCTTGAATCTTTCTGGCTTGGACTGAAACAGATGAGAAGTTACCTGGAAAACACCTTCTCTCCAAGGAACAGTGAGAGAGCCGATAAAAAAAAGTTCCCTGACTGATCGGAGGTGAGACAGTTCATACCCAGGGGTGACTCAAGAAGCCATCACCAAGTAAAACTGACATGTTCCGGGTGACGTGTCATGTGGAAATCTAAGTGACCAGAAGGGACGTGCTGATCCAGTTGACCACACTTTTGATAAAGTAACATTAGTAGTACCCTACTAACCTTACTTTCCTCCTTTTCTTTGTTCTTTATTTGCCAAAACTTAAGCTGAAAGTGCCAGTAAAATTGTTTGGTTGTTAACATCAGAGCTGAYGTTTTACTGTTCTATATAAGTAATCTGAGTTGATGTGAATTGAAATTCGGACGCGGATTTTCATCTCATTTAACTTTGACACCTTTTATAGGAATACCCACAATTAAGTGTACTTATGATCTGTTCAATTTGTGTAAATAAATGATTGCATAGTCTTTTATGAATCAACTTGAACTTGTCTGAACGTTCACTTATTGTATCACTTTTCACTTCGCACAGTCAAGATATTAAAAGTAATGAGAAATATCTTGGTAAAACTTTCCTCATAACCTTGTGTATGAGAGATGTAGGAGAAGCTTAATTCACCTTAAGCCCCCTCCTACACTTGTATGAGTCCAGCTCCTAATGGGAGTTCCTTTCTCCACCTCTATGTAAAAAAAAGTTTTTGTTTCTGTTAATTTTTCTTCTTTAAGCTATAGTTTCAAGTGAAACCTTTACTGTAATTCCCTTATTACTGGCCGTTGCTGTTTTGGTGAAGACTTAACCAGACCATGTACCAGTCAGTCTACATTCCTAACCTCACTAACGGTCAGAAACTCTGGGTGGTGACCAAAGGAACAAGATCACAGACACAGGAAGTCAAAATGTGTTTTCTCTCCTTTAGCGACAGGGTGAGAAGTTCAGTTCTCCAGAAGAGACTCCCCATCCAGAGGAACCAGCTGAGGTGGTTCATCTGGTAAGGACGGTCCTTGGATGTCTCCCTAGGGAGACGTTCAACATGTCCAACTGGGAAGAGACCACAGGGAAGATCCAGGACATACTGGAGAGAGTGTGGCTACGTTTACACCCATATCAGATTTCTTCCTGACAGTCTGAACGTGACAAATCCAACCCAGTCCTTTAAATTTAGAAACGGTACGAAATTGGATTCATATCTGATGTTTTTCAATGTGACTGCGGTCTGAATGATTACGTCTCATTTCATCTGACTTTTATAACAGTCAGGTGGAGGTCAGCAGATTGATACAAGTATTTAGAGTATTTATACCAATCCCATGAAGYTTAAATCTTGTAAGTTCACATGTCTTCTGCTACAGAACAGAAGTCCAGTTGATGGATAATATCCAGACTTTGTCATGCTATCCAAGACTGTGTAGGAAATATGTTGTATTATGCATGATGTCTGTTATTATAACACTAAAGCTGGAAGTGCTAAAGCTAGCTGCTGCTGCCACTTTTTGCACTTGCAAATAAGTCCATGTAAAAAGCTATGTGATTTGAAACTGTTTGCTTGTCAATCTCTTATTTTTTCAAACTGAGTTTCTTTTTAGAGCCATCTACAGCAGGTAGTATATCTACTGTTCATAGCCACTCCACACAACCCCACTGTAAAAGATTAGAGCGTACCCTGAGACGTTCTTGTTTGAAAAACAGCCCTGACCTTCTTTGCGTCCTTCAGGCCCCCACGGCCCCCCAACCAAAATGGGTGCCAGAACAACACCCATGTCCCGGGCTTTTCTTAGACTCTGCAACTCTGGCATTTTTTAAAAAGGTCTTCATATTGCAAATGTTGTAATTAGTTCTATGTAATTAGTGCAATTTATTGCTTTGTGTATCCCTCTGAGACACCAACACAAAGGTCTTAATTTGCGATATTACACGCTGTGTAATTGGGAGTCCCCCCGCCCCTCAGAGATTCCCCAGACATGTCCGGGCGTAACTGGAGTGGACGGAGAAAACAGGTTGGGTTTTTTTTTTATTTTGGAGCAGGTGCGACGAGGGAGCCTGCTTTCCCTCTTTATGTAATTAGCCCTAAGTCAACTTTATTAAAAAAGCAGCTAATCGGGAGCCTGGCCGGCACGTCGGACAGGGACGGAACCTGAAACCTCGCTGTAATTTGGCGCTCCGAGCAGGTCAGCTGAGATTAGCCAGGTTTTACTTAATATCTCCTGCAGCCCGGGCAAGAAATATCTGCGACTACATGCAAAGATGGAAATAATAATAATAATAATACAGAGCCCCATATGGGATGAGATCCATTCCCTTATTGGATGAAGTGATGATATTAAACAGCGTTATACGAGCAGGTGACAGTGTGGCACCAGCCAATTTCCCTGGATATGAAAAGGGAAGGATTACCCTGTGTGTGGTCAGGGGGGAGGCAGCTGCCACGGCCTTCCACCATGTCGCCTCTCTCCTTTGCTGATTGTTTGCCTTTGAGCCACAGCGTGTCTTCTTCCTCTGCTTCTCCTGGCTTCTGTTTGTCTTTTGGCGACTCATCCTCCCTCTCCTCCGCCTCCTTACTGTGTTTGTCTTTGCGTGACCTCAGAGGCCGGCTCCTCTCGCCGAGGACGATGCTCTGGTCCTGCTCGGCGGCTGGGTGTTGAGGCATCCTGGGTGGCCCTGGGCCAGTTCAACAAAAAAGAAAAAACAAGAGAGAGAGGAGAAGAGAAGAGACAGAAGCTGAGAATTACTCGGCTAACTGAGTTGCACAACGTAATCAGACTTTGAAGAGTTTCATTCCCCGGCGAGATATCCATCATCTGAAAAGTGTAACAAAACGACTGCTGACATGAAAGTAAAACTCAATATGGCTCATTAGAGACGTTATTACAGCAGCCATCATACGTCCTGCGTTGACAAGTCCGGAGGATGTGACAGTGTGAAATGAATGAACATCAGCAGGGAGGACAGAGATTAATGCTTACTTTTTGTTTTTACGACAATCCAAGMTTGTTACGAGTACATTTGGCCAATCGTTACATTTATTAAGACACTTTGCCTTAAATTTACACTTTGGATCTTTTAAAGTGGGATTTCTATAAATTAGACATGAACAACTAATATCTTACCTGCTGTAGATGGGCTCTCGCAACAAACTCAGTTTGGAAAAACTGTTTAATCCTGATCCTAATCTAACTACTAGTCATTCTAATCCAYTTTACAGAAAACTAAAAACAGGAATAAACCTTTAAAATCGTGAAATCAACATCTAAAAATTGTAATGAAGAGCCAAAGAATAAAAAAAGGAGTTTTAAGTGAAGATTTAAAAGTAATTAAAGAAGATGCCCATCCGATGTGCAAAGGCAATTAGTAATTGTAAACCCGGTCCACTCTGGGCTTACAGCTGGTTCCTGGTCCAGTCTGGAGCAGCAGACCTGGAGAATGGGCAGGTATGTAAGGGTGTGGCAGCTCAGAAAGGTAAGGAGGAGCAAGACCATTTAAAGATTTTAAAACAAATAAAATCCTTGTAAAATTATTTCTAAAATGGACTGGCAGCCAGTGGAGAGATTTTCACACCGGTGTGATGTGATTACATTCTCTTGTGCCAGTTAAAAAGTCAGGATGTAAGAAAATATAGATACACAGAAGTATTGCAATATTTAATTTCCCAATACTGTATCAATTCTTTAAAGAATTGTATCAATATTTAATAAAGGCTTAAAATGTAAACCTTCATGCCAGCGGTTCATTCTTGTATTGTAATTTAACCTCTGGATGCTAGTTGGCAGCAGTCAGACAAACATTTGGCTCCTTCACTCCTGAGGAGCCCGAGTATAATCTAGTTCAAATGTTAGCATTGTGAGTAAACATTAGCACTAAGTACCGATATCTGAATCTGAGCAGATTAGATCGACACCTGCTGCCTTCAAAGCTGAGGTAGAGTTGCCAGCTGTCCTATATTAGCAGGGATGTCCATATGTTAAGTCAAATTGAAGAGTCCCGTCGTTACAGCAGGCAGGCATTCGTCTAACTCCCTAAGCTGAAGGGGGTCTACAGGGGATGGTACTGAAGTAACCAAATATAACAGCCATATGAAACACTGAGGGCACTGAAATGACTGATGTACTGCTCACCCTGGACAGAAACACAGACTGTAGCAACTTTATTTTACCTGTTTACTGAACTTTAGCACAACAAACAGGCTGTTGTTAGTGTGGTAGTTGACCATGCTTTTATAAATTAGAAATGTAAAAGCTRCCACAAACATATTAGCAAAATGTGAATGTAAGTTATTGTTTCATGAGTTAATATAAAGTTGATTGATCTTACTGATTGACTTCAAGTTAATTGAGAAACGTCCAACCAGATTTCTCTTGTATCAAACGTTTTTCCATAACATGAAGGAATTATTTTTTTTAATATGCTGAATTTCAAAAAAAGAAGGGCATCATTACATTTTAACAATTTATTGTGCCGGCTATTTTAAATACTGACTGAATAAATATATAAAAATTACAGACTTCTCACACATTAATAAACTTGGACATGTTTATAAAACATAAAACAGAAATCTTGTAGGTTACTGAATGGAAAGAAAAGATGAAAAGAATTAAATATGTAAAACAATTAATCCAGATGATGAAGATGTAAAACTCTAGAATTTGGATTTAGAATTTATGATTTTTCAAAATTCTTTACTTTTTGCTGCAGATTGTTCTGACTGTCGGTGTCTAAAACAATAAAACAATTTTGAACACTAAGTGGGTCTAACTGGACTCCAGGTGTTGTCTGTGGCTGGAACCTGCTTACCTCTGTRGCAACATAAACAACCTACTCTGTTCTCCTGAGCTCAGAACTGATGCTTGGTTCTGTTGGACCAAACAGCCTGGTTCTGGAGCAGGCTATAGAGTTTCTACAAACTCTATAGCTCTGTCGCTTACAGAATTAGTAGGCAGATGAGAGATGTCATCATCCTTTGCCACCGAGGATGTTCAACAAGCTATCCACAACAGGTGAGATATTAAGTGGTCATCCTTTTGTCCCACAAAACCCCTCTTCAGAATATCTGAATCCTCCCTTTAAGAAGTTTCCTCACATCGGCTGTGATGCAGAAAACAAAACACCTGCACCAATCTGGATCAATCAGCCAATACCGTTTTCACAGAGAATGAATTATGCTCACGTCCCATTGTTTTGGCTAATTGCTCGCCTGCATCATGTGCAATCAAAGCAAAACTAAATAATTGTGAGCGATTGCTGCATCTGTGAAGGTCTGCAGCCAAAGACGGGGTGGGTTGGGGGTTGGGTGTGTGTGTGGGGGGGGAGCCGTTTTCTCGCAGCTGATAATGGCTGAACGCCAGGGACAGAACCATCAAACCTACAATGCCGTGAAGACAATCAGACTTGTTTTGTTGTTCCACAGAGTTCCTCAGGAGCACCATTTATATTACTTAACTTTTTCCAGCAGAAGTTTATTATCAAGGTAGGATTTACAGACTGTGCTGCTTTAAGAAAAGAGCACAATTATTTATGGCCAACTGCAAATGTCACAGTCTGAGCAGAACTTCTTTTAAAAAAGGCTACCCAAATCTCTCCCCCCCTCCTATCTCTTCTGGTTATATTTAAATCACATCCTTTCACAATATTTGTCAAACTTGAGGTGCGAAATCTAACAAGACAGTAAGTTGTGAGACTTGAGGACGCAGAGGGCTAATTAGTGATCTTGCCTCGGTGTGGCTTGTTTCTTCAAAAGGCCAGCTCTCGTCGGCTTCCTCAAATGTCACGCGAGTCTCCRGGCTCCCGGCCCCGCCGCTGGCCGCCTTCGCTAACAAGCCGACCGGGGCCATGCGGAGAGATGGCTCAATTTGTGCTGAGTTGTCGCCCCCATCGAGGAAGATGTTAACAGCGGAATCCTGCAGAGGCCGTGCCGCGACTTTACCCCTCCCTCCCTCCCTCGTTGTTTTCCCACCCATCAGGACCCCTATTATGTTTGTAGAGGCTTGATAAGGTTGGAGAATTGACTCTCAAATCGAGACGCACAAACACTCAGAACAAACACGCCATTATTAATGAAGAAGTGATGGAATCACTTGCTGCCTTTCATGCCAGAGTTTCAGTAAAAATTAAAGATAATCTCCTGTGACCTTTCAAGATCTGGTAAATCATGTAAGCACTAACTCTCAGCTACTACCACATCAAACTTMAGCTTAAGATCTGTAAATCTGGGTTAAAGGGTAGACATTTTTATTGTCGCTAAGGTCAGATGGTGGCCATCTTGAAATAGTGAATGACATCATATGATTACTTTTTGAGTTTAAATTTTCTGGTGGTTCATGAGATATTTTGCTAAAAGACAATAGTCAATGTCAAAGTTTTAAGCAAAGATGTTCAAAGGATGGGTTGGGGTGTTTGTGTAGGTTCATGCAATGCACCAGTTCCAATACCAGTTGAGGCATTCAGTGTTTTTTCATGTTCTCACCTGTTTGGTTCCTRATTGGCTACCACCTCCATGTGGCTGCAGCTGCTACTAATCTGGCTCATCACTGTTGGCTTCATAAGGAGGACCTGAAGATCAGTTCTTCGCTGATGCATCGTTTACCTTTGGTATGATTCTTAGCCCTTCTGTGAGTTTTTTCTTAGAGTTTTTATAATCCTGTTGTTCTTTGTGCTCAGATGCCTTTTGATCTCTACCTGGATGATCTTCCTCTTGTAATCCTGAAGCCCCTGAAAGAGAGCCACTCACCTGTCCTCGTGCTGCGCTGCCTGTCTGCCTCTAACTGGAAACAACACCACTTACCTCAGAGAACCTCTTCTCACCTGGAAACCTTGGACCTACTCCTCAGTGCWGAGCCTTYACCTCCCTTCTGTAAGAACAAAATTTATTCCCCTGCAAAATCCTCTTCATTTATTTATCTGCTCCATTACTCACCAAGACCCTCTTCCCTTYCAGGACTGAACCCCAAAACCCCATCACCTGTAAATAAAAGCACTTACTTTTTTTATTCTGTCTCTGGGTCTGTTTGTCATTGCATTGCTCAAAACTTTGACTAAAACCTCATAATTGATACCAGTATCATCTATCGACCTAATATTGTGCGTGTGTATTTGTACTCAATCTTATAAAAGTGTACAAATACCATTTTTTAGCAACGTGACATTGACCTGTTAGGTGATAGAGAAGGAGCAAACTGTCTTGTAGAGATAATTTCTTTTTTTTATTATATTTCAGTCTGCTGCTCCTTACCAGATAGTGGTGGTATTGCATCATAAGGTTATCTGCTAACCACCAATAAATACCATCAGAAAAGCAAGACAAGAAAGAAGCCATGCCAAGTTTTTTTGAAGTGAACAATGTAACAAAAGTTAAAGCTGAAAGTAAATTATTTTATTATTTTTTTTACCTTTTATTTAGGTGAGATTGAGATCCAAGATCTCATTTACAAGAGACCTGTTTTGATTATGATCAACGTTGTTCAAGCTGACGATATCGAGGCTGAATATGAGCAGAACACAACATTTTGATAAAATATCAAATGATAACAGCAGCAGGAAATGATTACTGTCTCTCACTGAGAAAAAGAGGATCTTGGGAATATACAGATGAGCATCTCAACAATCTTGCCGCTCACAATCTACTGCTGTCCTGATCCGTCTGAAGACTTAACACAAAAAGTAAGCTCTTCTGAATATTAAACACATCCTCTTTGTGGACGTGTAATGGCATTTATTTGTATTCAAATCAGTATTTAAGTACAGGCAAGTCCTCAAATGCAAATACATGTACATATACTTGTAGACGTTTGAAAAAACCTAATATTGTGCATCTTTGGTTAATAAACTATGGATGTACAGAGACAGAGTTTACCACAATATTTAAAGTTTTAAAAACTAATTTGTTATCACTAAGCACTCTAACTAACAGCTAATAACACACAATATCTTAGCTGAATAACATAAAACTGAGGTATAGCCATTTTGTGTTTTCTAAGGCTACTTAGGGTTGACTCCAAAAGKTATTAAGTTGTAGAAATACATAAAATGATTGYTTTGAGTTTCATTAAAATAYGTCCAGTGTTTAAAGGGATATTTTGCAAAAAGGCACCCTCAGACAGGTAAATACATTATTCCCCTTTTACCTTAGACAGCGGGTGATAAATAGATGGGCCTCGTATGCTGTGTACTCTCAAAGTGTTGGGAACCAACTCAACTTTGTTGTTAAATGCTGAAAGTATATAAAAAAACAGAACAGAGACAGAGTGCAAGCTGAGTGTTGTAAAGAGCCAGGAGATAACCAAATTGCCTTCTTCCTCCATCCATCTCTCACAGCAGGTGCTGAGGGACAAATTGCCGATGAAAGAGCTGAAGGGCTGAACCCTGCCCACGCGCCTGGCCTTGAGAGCTGCACAAACAGGAACTCGACCGACCAAACAGGGGAAAAAATGGTTCTGCTGAAGTCGTCCGGTTAAATTAAGGACGGGAAATGGCTCGAGCCGAGCCGACTGAGATGCCGTACCCCGTCACACGGAGGTGGTGAAGTAATAATCCATGACAGTTTGATTAAAAATCAGGTCTGGATTACCAACGACACAAACCCTACAGGGATTCGGTTTGCACAACTGGACTATATGATGTTATTGTTTAACACCTGACCAGCTATGTTATATAAGATATGAATTTCAACGACATGTGAGGAGATAGACAGAAGTCAAATACAATTCTTTACACTTAAATCTGTTGTTCTTGGCCTCATAACTGTGTTTCTCAACAAAATGAACGTCAAAGCCCCCATGGGAAGGGTTTGTGTTGTTTTGACCTGTTGTGTACGTCCAAGTTTTTGAAACTTGTTGCATGTTGTATTCATAAATAGCTTAGATATGATGAAACATTACACTTTGGTACAAAGAACGACTCTCTTTGTGCTATTYCTGCTCCATGTTGGTATTTCTTCAGTAAGTGATATAAAAGGCCATCAAACACTCTTAAGGTTACAATTGGGCAACAATCACACCTTGGTTCTTTGCTCAAAGACACAAAGACTTTGCAACATCAGGAGTAGATACGCCCTCAGATATCTGCAATTCTTTTTACATAAACAGACTCAACATACCAGTATATAGTGACAAATTTATAATATTTTATACACCCTAAACTTTGAAGTCCTTGGATATGCTGGCAGATATAATATTACTGCTTGAAACGCCCAAGACTAGGGGTCTGCAACTTGCAGTTCTGGGGCCATGTGCACCTCTTTGGTTCCTCTGCAGCAGCTCTTTGAAGCTTTGACTGAAGCTAAAATGAGTTAGCAGCTTTTTCTGTCAGTTTGTTTGGAAATATGTGATCTACAGATCTATATATAGATAATTATAAGAATTAGAAAAAGTATACCTGCAAAGTTCAGTTGTAGTTTTTATTAAATTTGTTATAAACTACATACTGTATTTTTCTTCTTTATACGAATAAGGACTTGTCTTTTGTCCTAAAGTGCAAAAATAATAATAAATGTTAAGATTCGCTATATATTTTTAGTTTATACAGGATGTATAAAAAAATGCCATAAAATTAACATAGATAATGATTTTGAAAATGTGGGCATAACCTTTGGTAGAGGGGATCATTCTACTTCGAATGATGAATTATCTCTTATTTGTTGTTGGCCTGTCGAGGAAACAGGTCCAGGAGAGAGACTCGGCCCTCCCTCTCTCTCTCCAACTTCTTCTGAGACCCAAGGCACAAAGTSCATATAGAGAGTTCTGGGTCTGCCATGGGGTCAGTAGGACATGCCCAAAAAAGGCGTCCTAATCAGATGAACCACCTCAACTGACTCCTTTAGATGCAGAGAGCAGCAGCTCTACGCTGAGCTCCTCACCCTCTCTCTACGGCTGAGCCTGGCCACCCTRCRAAGGAAGATCATTTTGGCTGCTTGCATGCAGGATTTGGTGCTTTTGGTGATGATCCAAACCTCATGACCACAGGTAAGGGCTGGAACCTAGACAGACCAGTAAATCCAGATTTTTGTCTTTCAACTCAACTTTCTTCRACACGACCAACCATCACTCAGAAACAAGACCAGAAACCTGAGCCAAAGACTTCCACAAAACCGAAWGGGGTATTCCATCCATTTTCATTTGCTAACTATGACCTCAGGTTTAGAGGAATGCTGAAGGTCTTGGCCTGAAGACGCCAACAGAACATCATCGGCATAAAGCAGAGACCAAACCCTCTATTCTTCACAACAGCACCTTGAGACCCTGTCCATGAAGACTCCTAACAAAGATCAGAGACAATGGACAGGCCTGACAGAGTCCATCCTTCTGCAAAATCATTATTAGATTAAATAAATTAGGTAAGTATTTTTTTATTTTTGTTTCATCAATGTAAAGCTGWGGATAACAGACAATAACTATCCTCTTCATTAGTGAATCTCCTTCTGTRCTGGAATGAAAATGATTTTAGAAGTTTTAGTGGAGTACAACAATGAGAAATGTTTACTTTAAACATCAATTCTTGATATCCTTGTATCAGATGACAGGATTCTGTGATTCACTGTCCTTGTCCTTTCTGTGTAGTTATTCTAAAAATATTGTTGTTCTTGAAGGAACAGCATTTCTCATGTCACACCACAGCCTTCCACCTGATTATTTTCTTACGTTTCCGCGAGCTGAGGGTTTCACTGGCAAGCTGTGAGATATCTCCATAAATACAGTTGTTATTTTTCAGCACAGTCTGTCATTTACAAATTTAGCAGGTTGTTAAATTCCCTGTCTAGCAAGCTGACACAGCCTGCTGCTGTGAATGCAGAGTGGCGCTTGTGACAAAGACGGGTGTGAATGCTGAATAGTTATCAAGCATCTGCTGCAGCTGAGCATGAAAAAAAGGTGGGGGTGTGGGGGCTGAGTTTTGTGTGCTCAAACGCTGAKGTTGTTTGTACGGTGCTTGTTTTAAGTGCGTCAGCTCCAATTCCRATGGACAGAGCTGTAAACAGACCTGCAGCTCAGCCATTATTTGCTGTATATATAGTTAATAAAGGTTTGGCTGCAAAATAAAGACTTCAGAGTCAGGTGAAAAAACTGGGTGTATGATGGACAACCCACTAATAATACTTTAATTTGTTCTGAATTAGAAAAATACGCAATTGCGATATTATTGACTAATATAAAATAAAACATTTTCACAGTATTTGCTGTCCTAATGAAAAGCACCTTTCAAACATCATTAGATCACCAGACAAACATATAGCATCTGCAGGTAAACAAATCAAGTTAGATAAGCCCTGATGTTTTTGCCATTTTCTTTCTTTTTTGTTTTTCTTTTGGCTGCTCCCTTCTGCAGGGAGTTGCCACAGCAAAAAGATTTGACAATTATTTTAYGCAGGACACCCTTCCTGACGCAACCCAGGCTCAAACCTGCGGCCTCAGGATTACGAGACTGCAGCACAGACTACTGAGCAACTGCGGCCCAACAAGACATRTACTTTATATTATATATGAGTATGATAAACATAGAAAAACATACTGTAAGTGATGAAATTTAAAAATGACATTTGAGATRAAAGACTTGAAAYGATAGAGATGTGATGATASAGAAGSCATGAAGAACATTGAATGAATCAGATCAGCTGATAGAAATTAGATGGTTGTGATAAGACCATATGTGCTAAGATGAAATGTTAGAGATGAGGTGATGGASATGCGATAACAGGTAAGATGACAGTGAAATAGGAAATGAGATAAAGATAAAAAGATTAAAATATGACWGAGATAAGATGGTAGAGATGAGAAGACAGAGAGAAGATAGTAGAGAACATGCAATTTCAGAGATGAGACGATGGTGAAAAAGATGAAATGACAGACATGAGATTACAGAGATAACAAAATTATACAGATAAAATAAAATCACAGAGAAGAGGTAAGAGAGAAGGTTATAGAGATATAAAATGATTGAAATGAGATGAGATGAGATGAGATGAGATGAGATGAGATGAGATGAGATGAGATGAGATGAGATGAGATGAGATGAGATGAGATGAGAGGACTGGTGCAATGACAGAAAAGATGTTAAAGATAAAACATGCAACACATTCATGCAAAAATGTGTTCTCTTGTGAAAAAAATTTTGGACTTAATGACATTCCAACAGCTGCCTTTATACAAAATACAGATAAACAGACAGTTAAAGCAAAAATACAAACAATACTATTCTACAGGTCAGTTCTGTTTAACTGCTGTTCCATAATTTTAAGGAAATAATGTTTTTTTAACTTAAAAGCTGCTGCTTGTCATCAGTGAGTAAATAATGAAATTTACTTTACAAACTGAACAGTGAAGAACCTATGATTTCTCAGTCATTGGTCAAATTTATAGAAAGATGGTACAACATGGATTACTTCAAACTGCAGTAAACTTACAGGAGACATATGCCTTTAAATCCTTCTTTTTTACATTTAAATCGTTCAGTTGGGGTCTATATAAAGTGGAACTGCAATACGACCAAACTGTAGTTGGCAAGTCCAGACTTTACTTGGCAGTTCTGCTGCAAATTTTGAAACGTTATGCTGTGTTCACACCGAACGCAATATGAGCGTCAAAAACACATCCAACATCTCAAGTTGGACACTTGTGCACTTTGAGTTCAAACGCTCATCAAAATTGCTCTTGACAAGCATTGAGAGCCTCCTCTGCTGGTCTCTGTTTAATGGCGGATGAAATAAAGAAAGTGGCTTTGCTTTATTTACTGAGAGCAAGAGAACGTCGCACTCACCAGATGATTAATTCATTAGATAATTAATTCACCAGATAATTCAGAGACATTCTGAGTTTGGTGCGTTTCACCGCTCCAGGAGCTGCGAGCTGATGAGGCTCAATTTCAGAAATATTTTTGTCCCGAGCTCAGTTTGATGAGCTGCTGACCCACATCAGTGCTGACATCTCCTGCCAGGACACCGACTACAGGCACTGGATTTCAGCTGAAGAGCTCCTGTCCATCTGTCTCAGGTTAGTGAGCATCATTCAGGAAACTGTTCCGTCAGAAAATGTGTCACTAAGTCACACAGTGGAGTCTCTGATTGGATGACCCTTGGCATCGAGCTGCAAAAGCTCAGATTTTTCAACTCCAGAAATGCTCTACACATGCCACAGCACTTCCCGACKCCCCTTCACACACGCCCACTATAGACTTTGCATGAAAATCTGATGCTCCTGATACCCCAGATGCTCAAAACGCGTTTGGTGTGAACGCAGCATAATAGTTCAGAAAACGTCATAGAAAACAGAGAAAACTGAACAGTTTAAAAAAATATGACTTAAACAGAATATAAAGATATCTTTGCAGCATTGAGAGACACTAAGTTAAACTTTTCTGCACTCCTGGAGACTCCAAGTACACAACAAAATGTACTTAATGCCTAAAAAGGTGGATTTTGTATATGTCCCCTTTAAGCAGGGAGTTTGATGCTGCATAGTGTTTTTTTTTTCTTTATTGTCAATTATTTAAACAATAATTGTAAAAAATGTCAGTCAAATATACCAGTGAGTACAGAAGAGCTGCAATAAAAGCATAAATGTGTATTTTGGTTAAGTTTATAAAAATGTCAGTTATCTCATTTTAAGCATCTACAGGACAGTAGTGTCTAACATTGTGATGCCATTCAAAAACTAAATTTTGCTCAAGTAATCCCCTTTTYATTTATTAAATCTTGCGGTTGCGAGGAAATGCAGTGAGCTGAGAACGACTTAAGAAGACATGAACTGGTCTAATCTGGGATTGGATTATTGTACCTCTTTCTGATTATGTCTCACGTCTAAACCTGGGAAACGTTTTCGACAGAAACAATGAGTCAGAAAAATAAAGAACATATATTAGTAATTTCAGCTTCAGGGGTGATATGTAAGAKCTGTTTTTATATAGAAACATAGATGTCATTTCCAGCGTTTATCTACCTGCATTAATAAAAGTCTCCCAGATTAGTTCTGAACCTTATCTGAGTCTTGAGTTTATTTTTGCCCCTGAAGTCATCACCCAGTCGATCTGATGCATCTCAGACATTTAAAGAGCATGGACCTGCAGTCTGTCAGGTCCTAACGACTTCCCTCCCCTACTCTTTGGTGAGATACAATCATAGGCTGTCAGAGATATCACCTAGAGCCAGCTCAACTTTTCCCAACTTTGTGCGAGACGTTTGCAGCAATAGCAGGCGCCTGCCTGCTCTCTCTCTCAGCTTGACAGGTGAGAATTATACTGTGTCCTTGTCATCTGCAGAGAGAGACACACACAGACAATATTCTCCAAGCAGAGCTATTTTAGACCCCGGAAAGCCATCTTTCGATATCTCGCATCTCCATCTGGTGAAATCTGTAATGCTGTTCAGAAGTATTATGTCAACAGACCGCTACGACTGATATTGACAGAAAGGAAAATAAAGCACTGAATGGATTTTAGCTTCAGGGGTTTCGTTTCGAGCAGGAGGCGGTGGCAGTGTTCTTCTTTGTGTCGAATGAACTCTTGCCTTATTTCTTGTTTGTGAATTTTAAAAAAGTGCCATTTCGCTTACCTGATCTGACCACAGAAGAACAGCGAGGGCACTCGCACATCTCGCAGAAAGGCAGCAGGCTGCTGTTTGTGTAGGTGCAGGCCTCGCAGTTCCACGTCGCCTCAGGACCAGGTTCTGAGCACTTCTGGGAGGTCACAAAGGAGACCAGGGAGGCGGGGCTGCTGGAACCCGTCCCTGCAGCCGTCAACCTCCGCTTCCCACCCAGTCCAGACCTGGAGCTCCGGCTGGACTTGGGCGTCTGTAGCCTTTTTGGCTGCGGTGAGAAGTCCTGCTCGGGCGTTATGGGTTCGGACTTCTCTCCTCTGCCAGCTGGTTCAACAGAGGAGAGAGATGTTTCCTCATCTTCTGTCCTCGTTCTCTTCTTCGCCTTGCTGGTGCTCGGGGAGAAGAAGGAGCGGATGTCGTGCTGCTTCTCTTTCTCAAACTGAGAAAAACAAACCAAGCTTCAGTTAGTTTTATTGCTATTATTATTTTTTTAATATTAACATCATCATCATCATCATCATCATCATCATTATCCTTTATTTAACCAGGCGAATGCCATTGAGATCACAGATCTAACTTGCATGTTTTTGTCTGGAGGAGAAAACCGGAGGACGTAGAAAACCTATGCAAGAATGAAGTTTATATAATGAACGACCCCGGGTCCGAACCAGGGATTGAATCCAGGCATCAGTGCTAACTGAGCCARTGGCAGAACTAGGGCTGGGTACTGAATTCGATACTTTTATAAGTACCGACCGAAATGTGTCGTACTAGCGAGTACCTATTCATGTAACATAAAACGGTACCATGTTTCGGTACCTAAACGCATCATTTTGACCGTACTGGCCTAAGAGTGGGAGATTTTCCATGCTTGTCCTGAATGCAGCATTGCGCAAGAGCGTAATGACATCAGCAGCCGCTGGTTCAGTAAACTGAGCTCTGTCTGAATGTAGCTTGAAAGCTCCTGGAGCAAAACTCACCAAACAGACAGCCTCTGAATTACAGCGGGTAAAATAAGTATTGAACACGTCAACATTTTTCTCAGTAAATATATTACTAGAGGTGCTAATGACATGAAATTTTCAACAGTGTTGGTAACAACCCAAGTGATCCATACATACAAAGAAATCAAACCATAAATGTCCAGAAATGAAGT